TGAAGCATGCTAGGGTACAGTGGAGCATGCTAGAGTACAGTGAAGCATGCTAAGGTACAGTGAAGCATCCTAGAGTACAGCAGTGAAGCATGCTAAGGTACAGTGAAGCATGGTGACGACAGCGGGTGTGAGTGCGAGCAGCAGCGCACCTGCACGGTGCTGCGTACGGGCATGTCGTCCACGTGCGAGCAGCTGCGCGATGAAATCCACCATGCGATGGCCCTGTGCGCGAAACTCCGCTGCATCCAGCGGCCTCACTGCCGCGCCACCCGTTGAAGCTGCACCTGCACTGTCCACGCCAAGGGCAGCAGCAGCGCTGCTCAACGCCTCCTTCGCGTGCACACTGGGTGACGCCCTGGCGACACCATTACCCAGTGCCGCATGCGCACACTCCATGCTGATGCGAGTTGGCGTTGGGGGCATGCGTAGCGGGGCGTCAGCCGTTGATGGTGGGGGCGCTTTGATCCTCTGCAGGCGGCCCTCCGCGTGCTGCCACTCGTGGCACCACTGGCCTGGAATGGCTCCTTCTCTCCCCTCACCCGCCACTGCCTCGTAGACTGCGCTCAGCTCGTTAGAAACTCCTTCCCGTGCTGTCAGCCCGTTACAGCATCGCAGAAAAATTTGGGCCTTCAAATTCGGCCCAGTTACTTTTGCACCCAAAAAAGTCCACAAAAAGATCTGGACAACTGCGTAAAAGCAACCATGGCAGATGTGACTTTTTTTTTTTTTTTTGCTCCTCTGTTTCACGTGCTCCCCGTCTGTTTCTAGCATGATATGCTAACTATCGCCTTCACGTTTTGTCCACTATGCACTGTTATGGTCATAGAATCAGTCGCTCATTAATCTATTGATTGGTTGCTCACAAAAGCTCTTGGTACTATTTCTTTCACCCTCTCTTATCTCTCTCTCGCGTGTGATCGCTTGCGCTTCTTTTTTGTTATATCTCCCGACATACCTTCCCATTTTCGTGGCATGTATAGCTATCTCTTGTGGGTTTCGGCCATGCTCAGCATATTCCTCATTTATCTCCCCACGTTGTATCATCTCATTTGCTGCCATCTGTCATTTCTCCAGGTTGCCTGCACATCCAGAACATGGCGGTAATCTCCACGTTGCCTGCACATCCAGAACATGGCGGTGATCTCCAGATTAACATTTCCCTAAACCCTAGACGCGCGTATTTCTCCATTCGCGTGCCTTTCTTTATCTCCCATGTTTGTGGTGAGTTTTGTATTCTCAAGACATCTAACCGTGCAGTATGTGCAGACTATGTGATGAGAAGCATCGGGTACGAAGGTTCGCATTTGCGAGTAAAACGTTTTTAGCATATGCTTGATGTCACCCACTGAGTCGTTCGTGCATGTGTGCAGGAACTGCTCCTTTCTCTTAAGACAATACAAGATTTACACGTGACACTACAAGTTACAGAAATTCCCGATTTAGGGTGCCTCCATGTTTTTTTTTATCGCTAGGAAAATGGTTTTGTAAATAACATGATGTTTTCAGTAGATACATTATGTACATGTATATGTGTTCATGGTGATGCTTTCTATAAAATACGCCATCGAAAGTCAGCAATGAACCGTAAAAGCGTCTTGAACCAATTTGCGGAATTTGTGGGAGCCAATGCTCTCAATCAATGAGAGGCCACCAACATTTTAGGTCGGTGGCCAGCTGCTCTTGTGTCCCATACGGGGACTGACAATTTGTATGCACTGCAGGGGTTGTTGTTGCGGGCCCAGTTGTTTGCTTCCTAGAGGTTTCCATGTGGTGGGAGGAGACTCGAAAACCGTTGCCACGTGTCACCGTTGCCTGGTATGCTATGAAGTCACATTTCCGTAACATGCCCCGTGCATATACGTGTCTTGTTCATGTACTGTCAGCAGTCGCTCCCGCCACATTTTTGCAACTGAGTTGGTACGTTGAACAGGGTCACTTTAGACCTCAACCTTTTAGTAACCGTGATCAAGTAACGGAAAAGTCACGGAAACGCAACGATCGCGTCACTTTTGACACTTGCGATTTTTGCGATGATCTCGCACTAGCGCCGCCTACACTCGTGTATACACCGCGCCTCTCGCACTGACCGCTGCACCCAGCCCAAGAAAGGAGTTCAAAGCAGCCCGACGTGGCGGGCTGTAAACCAACCGCGCGCTCGAAGTCCCCCTGCTGCGCCACCAGCACATTCGCCATCTGCTAATGCGCTGGGCGAGAGAGCTGCGGGCAAAAAGCGACTCACAGCTCACGCCTGGTGGCGTGATCACGGCTCATGTGCGTCTCGCCTTGAGCAATGCACCTTGCCTCCTCCGAGGTGTGCCATTCCACCCCCAAATGCCCTCAGCTTTTGTCCTTAAGCATGGCGGTCTGCAGTCAGCAAAGAAACCTCGGTGACTCGACCGCACACACTGGGCGCGGAAAATTTTGTGCATAAATTTTGAGCATGGTAGCTTTTCTTTCGGAAAAGCTTCGAAAAAGCTCAGAGAAAAAGGGAGATTTGTGTGACGCGCGAAAATGTGACGGAATGTACACAGTACAGGTTCATAAATGTGACTTTTGGTGACTTGGACCAATGCGCCACGCTCGACGCACCGCAAGGGCAACAATTTTGCAGCCACGTTGCCTAGTTAGAAACGCGTCTCGCACAAAAATGTGCGCCTCGCCAAAATATGTGCCAAGATGCTTCTATACCGCGTCAGCCAGTTTTCCTCGCCCAAAAATGTACTCAATGGTTCTACGCGTGATCGGGCGGTCAATAGCGTTTCAGATTGGTTCTGCTTACTGTGACGTGAACTCGGGTCCAGCGTAGATGACGAAACAACAGTCGAAAACAAAACCGTTGGTGACTGTTTACGAAATACCAACTCTGTTTACAAAAATCAACAATCTGTAACTGTAATAGCTGGCTCACGAGTTCCTTGGCACCAGAAGGGAAACGAGAACCACCGAGACACGTCACCGCCAACCGAGTTATAGTATTGGATGACGAAAGCAATTAACGAACAACTGTGCTGGAGAAGAGTTCAGTGATTGGGGGACTTGCTGTCCCTCAGAATATGCATAACACGTCATGCATCATCCGAACCAGGCGTGCAATACCCACCAATCGCATACACTACGAAATTGGGCAGGCCAATCATCACTCGGGCTTATCCTTACGCCAGCACACACCAAAAAAACCTGCCGAGCACTCCCTAATCCCCCCAACCACCCCAAGTCCCCAACTGAGCCTCCCTTCCACATCCCTATTCGCTCAACCACGTCATCAGCCCACGATGCATCTGTGTTTCCAGTGAGCACCACTGGCTCCCGTCCTCCTAGCACAAGCCCCACTCCTGATGTGCTTACCAGATACCGCAGTACCCTCTTGGCAGCTGACCAATGGACTAGTCGGTGCCTGCCTGTGGCAACAAAGCAAGCCAAGAGAATGAGAGGGTACGCTAGATCTGGTCGAGTGCAGGTCATCAAGTACATAAGATACCCCACCAGTTTTGCGAATGGACCACAAGCCTCGACCGACTCAGCCAAAACAGGAGCAAAGAGCTTGTGATCCACAGGCAGAGGGGTGGGCTGGGCTGAGGAGAACTGGAGACTGAACCTCTGGAGGATCTGCTGCACCATATGGGACTAGGAGAGTGTGATCGTTTGAGAAGCACGGTCACGAGAGATCTCCAAGCCCAGATAGCGCCTCAGCTTCCCCAAGTCTGTACAAGTGTGTCTCCTAAGTAACTCGGCCTTCACGGAGGCCAGGACCACTCTATGAGGAGTAGCAAAGATAAGATACGTACACTGGAATGTAGAATGGTGTCCGACCCATGCGAGAAAACGGAGAGGGATCAGCAGAGGATGGAAAGAACTGTGGCCAGAGGAGGGTCGGCAAAACATGTGGCCGCTGGGAGTGCGGCCACAGGTTCAGATGGTGAGCAGCGTAGCACACTACGAACGGCCACAGAAAATGGGGTGCACCGGCGTGGACCATGGAGGTGCGAGCCACCTCCATGATCAGGCCGATGCGTTGTACAGCGACCCCATTTAGCTCAGGGGAGTCCGGCAGTGTGTACGTCCGGCGGATGCCCTCTGCACGAAGAACCGTCCTAGAGTACCACAGGCAAAATCGCCACCTCGGTCAGAGTGTAAGCAAACTACAGGTAGACGGTGGTGGGTGCGAATAGTGAGAAGCCGTGGAAGGAGAATGGTAGGTACGTCGGCCTTCCGCTCCAACGGGAACACTGTATTGAAGCGCGAGAAGTTGTCAACGATGACTAGAAAGTAGCGCTCCCAACTAAGACCATGGACCGGGGCAGGGCCCCAGATGTCCATGTGCAATCTCTGGAGCGGTGCTGTGGTAGGAGGAAACGAGGAGGAGTGAGGGGCGGCGCGCTACCAACCTTCGATACAGGACGTGCACAGTGGCGCTACTGACATAGGCAGGGCGGGAAACGACGCAGGGAGACCAGTGACTAGACTGTGCTGGGATATGTGCCTAAGATGCGGGAGTGCAGGGTGACCTAAGCTATGGTGCCACAGAAGGGTCGGGTGGGCTATGGAGCAACAGGAGTAGGACGTGGCAACCACGACAGACGCAGCTGTGGGTGGGGACTCAGTGTGAAGTGTAAAGAGACCTGACATTGGGTCACGCTCAAATGTGGCTAAATGTTGACCTGTGGTTGTGTCTGTGCAGGCGAAGTGTCTCTCGCGGCCAGGGAATGTAGCGGTGACGCCTCCGTCCTGAAGGTGACCGACACCCACTAGGTATCTGGCAAACGACGGGATGTGCAGACCGGTGAGAGAGCCGGAGGGGACAGTTGGACAATGGAGAGTGGTGGTGCTACGTGCGACACTTGTGGCAGAGGAATCTGCTAGTGCAACGCGGACAAGCGCAAGAAGCGGGGCGAGAGCAATACTGTCTCTAGACAAGGGAGGAGCCTAGGGGACATGGAGTAGAGGCTCTTAGACTAGACACAGTGGTGGGACCTAGACCCCTGGTCCTCCAGAGAAACCACACTGTCCCTGGGACAGTGACCGCCCCGAGGCCGCACCTCTAGAGCCTCCACCTCTCCCAGCACCCCCAAGACCCCACTGCGGCTGCTGCCGCTGCCGCCGCCGCTGCTGCTGCTGTTGCTACTGCTGCTGCTGCTGCTGCTGCTGCTGCTGCTGCTGCTGCTGCTGCTGCTGCTGCTGCTGCTGCTGCTGCTGCTGCTGCTGCTGCTGCTGCTGCTGCTGCTGCTGCTGCTGCTGCTGCTGCTGCTGCTGCTGCTGCTGCGGCTGCGGCACTATCCAGAGAGCCCGGAAGCAGATGTCGAGGTCGTGGACCCAGAAACCAAGGAGGTAACCAATGTTATCCTCTTCGAGCGTGTAGTCTAGGTGCCGGCTCACGAGCTGTAGACGGTGAGCAAGAAATCGAAGAGCGGAGGGAACTTCCCGGTGGTCTGGCTGAGGGAGGGACCCGAACGAGGCCATCATGTCGAGAGGAGAGGCGTCGAGGAACTCTAGAAACGAGGAGGAGACTAGTGGGAGGCAGCTACAAGAGCGCTAGCGGAGGTAGTAGCAGTGGCGGATGTGGCCGGAGCAGTGGCAGCGAGCAGGAGACAACAAGCTGCGAATAGGAGTAGGAAGCAAACGAGGAGGAAGTACGCACGAGAGGAGCTACTAGGAGCAGCACGCCAAGGAGCTACTGTAGCTGGGAGTCACTAGGACTGGCGGCAAAGGGAGAATAACAGTCCACAGGGCACAAGGGACTCACAAGGCTGGCGGCCGACTGGCGACTGGCGGCTGGTGGTCGGCGGCTGGACGCAAGTGGTGGCAGCTGGCGGCTGACAGCTGGGGGTCAGCGGCTGGTTGCCGGCGGTCGGCTGCTGGTGGCTGGCGACTGCAGTGGCGATAGGAGGGGCAGAGGTGGCTGCAGTGGCAGTGGCGGCAACGGTGGGAGCGGCACCTGCAAGGACAGTGGCGGCAATGGTGGCATTGGTGGCTGCAAGGGCAGCGGCGGCAGCAGCAGCTGTAAGGGTGGTGGCGGCAGTGGCAGCTGCACAGGCAGCATCGGCAGTGGCGGCAGCGGCAGGGGGTTGCAGCAGCTGCGGCAGTGGGAGTGGCGGCAGTACAAGCTGCAGCAGCGTAAGCGGCGGCAGTGGCAGTGGCGGCAGCAGCTGCAGCAGTGGCAGTGGCAGCAGTGACGGCTGCAAGGGCAGCGGCAGCAGCAGCTGCTGCAAGGACAGCGGCAGCAGTGACGGCTGCAAGGGCAGCGGCGGCAGTGGCGGCTGCAGCTGGCGGCTGCAGCTGCAGAGACGGCAGCGGCAGTGGCGGCAGCTGCAGTGGTGGCAGCTGCAGTGGCAGCAGCGGCAGTGGCGGAAGCAGCTGCAGGAGTGGCAGCGGTGGCAGTGCAACTGCAGCGGCAGAGGCGGCAGCGGCAGTGGTGGTAGCGGCTACAGCAGTGGCAGAGGCGGCAGCGCAGCTGCAGCGGCAGAGGCGGAAGCGGCAGTGGCGGCAGCAGCTGCAGCAGTGGAAGTGGCGGCAGTGTGGGCTGCTGCAGCGGCAGTGGCTGCAGTGGCAACGGCAGCTGCGGCAGCGGCAGTGGCTGCAGAATTTGCGGCAGTGACTGCAGTGGGTGGGGCAGTGGTTGCAGCGGTTGCGGCAGTGGCTGCAGCAGTTGCGGCAGTGGCAGGGACTGCAGCGGCAGGGGCAGCAGTATTGGTGGCAGTGGGAGTTGCAGCAGTAGTGGCGACAGTGGCAGTGGCACAGGCAGCAGCAGTGGCGGCTGCAGTGGCGGCGGCTGTTCGGCGACTAGCTGGCAGCGGCAGTAGCAGCAACGGCAGTGGCAGCTGCAAGGGCAGCAGCAGAGCGGTGGCTGCACGGGCAGCCGTGGCAGCAGCGGCTGCAAGGGCAGCGGCGGCAGTGGTGGCAGAGGCAGTGGCTGCAGTGGCAGAGGCAGCTGCAGCAGCAGCAGTGGCGGCAGATGCAGTAGCTGCAGTGGCAGTGGCAGTTGCTGCAGTGGCAATGGCTGGTGCGGCAGCGAGCTGGCCAGTGGCGAGCTGGCAGGCGCTGCGGGCTAGTAGCTGGCAGCAGGTGCTGGCGGACGCTGCTGGCTGCTAGATGGCTAGAGCTGCTAGCGGCGAGTTGGCCAGCACTGCTGGCGGCGCGCTAGCTAACGCGCTGGCTAGCCAGCTGGCTAATGTGCTGACCATCCCAAAAATTAGGGTGGCAAAATGATACCCCCAAGACTGCCGCATGTGACCTGAGGGTTTCCCGCTGTGGGGTAACTCTGGGGCTTCCGGCTGGGTGACCTTGGGGAAACCGACAGTCAAAATGCCTTTCGATGTGGCGCGTGGGAAACCCATGATGTCACCCCTTTCCGAAACCTACGGGTCACCCTGAAGTGACATCAAGGCTAAGAAAGGGGAACGTGAGGGTTACATTTTTCCGAGGCGCGACCCTAATACACGAAGTCAACACCCTCGCGCTGACTTAAGCCTCTAGCTACGTAGCACGCCTTGAATACCGACGGCTCTCCAGGAGGGCGCTTCACCTTGAAGAGCCACCGGCCATCGACTATGTTCGCCTTGAACTGCGTCGACGTAGGTGCTGGTGGATCTCCAAGATGCCATCTCTGCGTCCATGGCAGCTATCCACTGAGAGGCTCAGGGTCCCGAGGTAGCCTCAGCGTAATTGCGATGGGTCGGGATGTCAAAGGCGTCTGGGTCCCCCTTAATGACTAGCAGCATGGAGCACTGATGAGGCGCGGCCTCGAAAACGAAAGCAAGCTCGTACTACCGGTCCTCCAGGAAGTCCTGGAGCACCCCTGACGGACGAAGGAGGAGCAGGGTCGAAGACCAGAGTGGTGACGTAGTCAAGGCGGTGGGTAGAGGCGAAGTCAGCGACGGCAGCGACAAGTGCATAAAGACTCGAGAGAGGAACGGACGGGTCGGTAAGGAGGGAGGCAAGGACCCGAGGAACAAGAGGACTAGCAGCACAAAGGTAGTCAAAGAGAGGAGGTGGAGCAACAACAAGTGAGGACGGAGGAGGTGATGCGAGTAGGGGAGGATAAGATGCGTGGGAATGAAGCAACATAGGGTGGGAGCACTGAACAGGAGAGACAAGATGAGCACGGGAGGGTTGGCGAGACCAGACGTGAGACGATAGCGTCGGGTCAAGAGATAGGGGAGGAGATATAGGAGGAGAACGAGGGGGAAGACGAGCCGTAGACGAGTCCGTTGGAGGAAAGACAGAGCCGTGGACAGGGAGGGAAGGCAGCGGCGGAGGAGGCGCAGGCGGGGGGTCAGGGGAGGGAAGACCAAGGAGGCGAAGGGCAGACACCGGCGGCAACTGCGGCTCCTACTGCAGCTCCTCCATGCCAACACCGGAACCTCCAGCTACACCAAGGCTACCTCTAAGACACTCCACTCCAACACCCCCAGCACGAGAACCCTCTCCAGCACCGGTGCCACCCTTGAGACCGCCAGGACAAGCCACAACAGTAACCCCGGGACTAGCACTCCCAGAACCAGCACCCCCATAACTCTCGAACCAAAGCAACTGTTGCGGCTGCGGCGGCGACGACAGTTGCAACGGCGGCAATGGCTGCAGCTGCTGCGGCGACAGAGGAGGGGGCATCGGGGCAGAGATAGGTGGCAACACTAACTCCGCGGGGCCCACGGAGTCAGCGAACTCCCCAACCGGGACAAAGGAATAAAGGGGAGTGACGTGCGACACGCCAGACGGGGCAGGACGGGGAGGGGGGGGGGGGGGGGTTGGGGCTACCTGGGGAGTGGGAACCGGAAACAGAGGCGGAGAAACCGGGAGACCTCGGTGGGGAAAGGGGTGGTAGAAGGAGACAGACTCATCAAGAGTGACGTAACGCAAGTGCAAGAAGCGGTGAGAAGGCGGATAATAGAAGTGCCAGTCAAACGTGTCAAGCGGGAAACCAAGGAAAACACAAGGAATAGTGCGGGCAGTGAGCTTGTCCGTGCCAGATGCACAAACGTGAGCAAAGCAGCCCTAGATGTGGAACGCTGATGCGTCACCAGGTAACCTGGTCCAGAGAAGGGTTGGCGAAACCTACGGCCGCTGGGAGTGCGGCCAGAGGTTAAGCTGGTAAGCGGCGTAGCGAACAGCGAACGGCCACAGAAAATGGGGTGCACCGGCCTGGATCATGGAGGTACAAGCCACCTCCATAACCAAATCGATGCGTTGCTCAGCGACCCCATTCTGCTGTGGGGAGTCCGGTAGGGTGTACGACTAGGTGATGCCCTCCGCACGACAGAACTACTTAAGCCGATCGGAGGCAAAATCGCCATCACGGTCGGAGTGGAGACGCAACATAGGGTGACCGCGGAGGACTCGCACAGCAACAAACCACGGGATAAGAACGTCAGGCATGTCGGCCTTCCGTTCAAGGGGAAAAACCGTGGTGTAGCATGTGAAGTCCTTCAAAAGCACTAGAAAGTAGCGCTCCCGACGTGGCCCAAGGACGGGGGCTGGGCTCCAAACGTCCAGGTGCAGGGTCTAGAGTGGCGCAGTGGTAGCGGGAAGCGCAGAGGAGTGAGGAGCACGGCGCACCCAGCCCTCGACGCAAGGCGTACACAGCAGCGCAGGCGAGGGGGGAAGGGTAGGGAGCAACGACGGGAGACCAAGGACAAGACTGTGATGGGACATGAAACGCAGACGCAGGAGTGCGGGGTGATTTGGGTGGTGGTGCCACAGCAGCGACGGGTGAGTGAGCGAACGACACGAGCAAGCCGCGGTGACCTGAGTAGCCGCAGGCACTTTGGGAGACGCCCTCACCGGGGGGGACGAAGTGTCAAGCGTAAACGGGCTGGACACGTCCCGGGAGAATGTGGTCGGAGGGGCGCCAGTGGCGGCCTCGGTACAGACCACGTACTGCTCGTGTCCAGGGAACGTAGTGGTGACGCCAAGGTCCTGAAGACAGCCGACACCAACTAGGTTCCTAGAGAACGAGGGGATGTGCAGGCCCGTAAGAGAGCCCAAGGGGACCGCCGGACAAGGGAAGGTAGTGGAGCTATGGGCTACTACCAGACCTGAGGAAGGGTCAGCGAGTGCGACAGCGGTGGGGGCAGCAAGTGGCGTGAGCACGTGGTCATGAAAGTAGCAGGCGGACGTGCCAGAGTCAAGCGTAAAGGAGAGCAACGTACTAGCGTCAGCCGACGGAGGGGCAAGCGTAGAGCCTAGGCTAAACAAGGCGGAGGGTCCTACGCCTAACGCAGTAGGGGAGCCTAGACTACACACAATGGACAAACCTACGCTAGGCAACACTCGATAATAGGGTCCAATCACACTAGAGTCATCAGCATACATGAGAGACATAGCAGCCCTAATCCGATCCATGTCAAGCTCAAAGACCGGCACATGGCGGCTAGCTAGAGCATTCCAGTCAGGAGGGTCCGATGTGGGATCGAAGCTGCGGCAGAAAAGGTTGTCCAGGTGGCGGTAGCAGCCCTCTGTGGTGTGGCTAGACCAGGAGCAGACGGTGCCGCAACGGGGGCTGGTCTGACCGCACAGGAGACGCCACCCGACACCGAGCTTCGGCCGCCACCACCACGACCACCGCCACCAGCGTCGCCAGTCCACCACGGCGGTGGGGGTCCCCACAGCCACTGCTGCTGCTGGTGCTGCGATAGCTGCTGCTGATGCTGCTGCTGAGTCTGGTGATGCTGCTGCTGCTGAGGCGGCGTCTACTGCTGCTGCTGCTCCGGGGCACCGGCCACTGTCCCCTCGTCTGATCCACCATCCTCGCCCCCACTTCCTCCACCCTTCCCACCCCCACCCCCCTTCCCTCCACCACGCGCTACCTTGAGGCGGTGGCCCTTACCCAAACGCGACTGAGCTGAGGCCGCAGCAGCGGACTCAGCAACAGCAGCAGAAACGTCAGAGTAAGAGCACTAGGAGGGAGCACATCCCTGAAAAATAGGGACCGACGTAGTACCGTTAGACTGAGCGATAGTGCATTGGCGGCTCTCCATCATGGATAGGGCTCTGACAAAGGCAGGAAGGGTGAGGTCACCCCGGTGCTGACTGAGGAAGTGGTTGTGGAAAGTGGCTAGGCGGTCGGGTTGTGTGGCAAGGAGGTACAGGGTAGCGCAATGCGGTGGCGGAAAGGCAATGAGCTGAGCCTCAGTGCTAGCAGCACGGTAGCTAGACTCAAACATGCATAGGTGGGTGGCCTGGTCAGCGACAGTGGGGAAGGATGCAAGTTTAGGGAACAGCATGGGGAGGATCAGGCAGCTAGCAGAGGCGGAGGCGGGCGTGGAATAGCGTGCAACTAAGGCCTCTAAGAATTCCTGGGCATTCGCTACAGCAGTGAAGTGCGGACGCTCTGACTGGGGGGGCCTGAACTAATGGCAAGCTACGCGACAGTGTCGCGCGATTCCCAAATAGTACGATCAAGCACCACTGCGGAAAAGGCCTCATGCTCAGCAGTAGTGGGGGCAGCAGGGAGGGCAACAAGCATAGTGGGGGGGGGAAGCAGGCCATTGATATGAACAGCCAGAGAATGACCATCTTGGCGCTGACCTGTAAGGTGACGGTGGAGGTCGATGAGCCACGTCTCGAAGTCTATCGCCTGACCCTTGTTGGTGCATATTCGTTTGCACGTCATCCTATCGTCTGTTCGCATCATTTCGTTGCATGTGTTTTGTGTGCTACGTTGTTTGTATGGTTTGTTGGGTTTGCATGTCTTTGCATGTTCATCTTGTGCTTGTGCAGATGTGCTTGGATTGTGCATGACATCGAGCACATTCCAACGAACCAAGAATTGTTGGAATCGGAGCACATATGAAGAAGTTACGAAGAAATGTTTGATGGATTTGTTACAACTCATTGGAAGTCCTTGTCAGCTGCTACACCAAAGTTGGAGAGCCCTATAACGAGGAGGGACCAGCATGTGTGGGACTCTTGTCCCCACCCTGCAGCTGCAGCATTTGGGGTTTGGAGGCCAACCTGGTACAGTGTGAATTTTGTCTTACTAGGCTGGCTGAACTTGAGGATGGGGAGTCAAGACTTTGACTCTTGTCATGTTCTTGACCATGGGCCTCCAGGGTCCTTCCCTTTCATCCTTCCCTTCCATCCCTACCTTCCAATTGTGCTTCAATGCCATTTCTATCATGCCTCTGAGGATTGTCAACTTCTCCTAGGGCAGATTAACCCCCAGTGCGCCAAACGCCATAGCTCACTCGT